TGCTTTGAAAACATTATAACTTATAAATTACACTTTGAATACTGCTCCCCAGCCAATTTTGTTTTCCTAGTATGAGTTATTTCTGCTTTTTCAATACATCTGTGGGTGAAGCAGTTTTGGAGGGAAATGTAAGATGACCACAAATAATGCACTGTATGTTCTTCTTTACTAGCAGTAACCTTTTTCTGTTACATACCATTGGCCTCAAAGCTACTTTGGAATGTAAAAGAGCAAATGAAGCAAAAATTCCAGTTTCTAGGATTATAAATATTGAGCAGTAGACCATTTATTTACATGTAAATCAGTTGTAAATAGTGAGTCACTTGTACAGTGAGATGGGCGGCACATATAAATTTAAAAATAAATAAAATAAATAAAAATGTATTAATGAGGAAATTATGAATAGTCAGACTTTGTCAAACATTGTTTTGTACAGTGAGACAGGCAGCATATATACATTTTAAAATAAATAAATAGGTTCAATAGCTTACTTTCCATTCATGGATAACAGGTTCTTCCCAGGGCTCCTTCTGTGTGTGTGTGCATGGGAAGGACCAATATTCTGTAGGGCAAAAAACATGTAAAACTAATGGCCAGAATTGTTTTTTGTAGCTTTGCTTGTATAACTTCTTAATTTGACATTTCATTTGTGTTGTTGCTTTTGTTTTTTTAAGTAACAGAAAGGCACATTTTGATTGAATGGTGTAAACTCTCACTAAACTATATGTTTAAAAATGAATTTAGAGACCTTTTGTAAGTAGAGGTTATAGTGCTCTTCTGTTCAAAATTTGTATCAATTAAAATGTTAGCTGCTATTCAAAATCTACACTGAGCAATATGTTGCAAATTAAAAAGTGCTGTATGTTCTACAAGCCACCATTATCTTCTGCTTCCTTCATTCTGAAGCACTAATGAGAAATCCAGCATAATCAACCATCAGGATCCATAATAATAGCATGTGCAAGCAGGAAAGGTTTGGGGATTTTTTCCTTGTGAACACCTAAGAACTCAAGAAAAAAAAAGTGGTTTAAAGGCTTCCCGTTTCTACTGTGTTATAAATGGCTGGAGAAGTTTTCAATACTGTGGCATCCACATAGCTACAAAATGGCCTTTGTTTAAGGGCAGATTACTTGAATTCGTAGATAAACTTGTTATTTACTTTGATCAGTGACAAGCAGATGAGTGATACCAAGAGGTGTTCTTGGGCTTGTTTCTTAGGTATATGATAAGATCTTTTCACAAACTGTTTGAAGTACTCTTCTGCTTCCAGTAGGGGGGGATTCCTTCCAGACAGGGTTGTAATCTATTAAGAAAAGCAATTCCTGCAGTCCTTACATCTTGCATGAGTGCCTAGCAGGGCTTACTTTATGGCCATGTATTTTCACAAATGCATTCTTCTGTAAGGGTGGTGACGTTAAACTAAAAAGGATATGGCATATATTATGGAGAGCAAAATCTTTTCCTATTAACAAAGAGAACATGTTGATACTTTATCGGACTGCTCTTGACATGAAATGAACTAATGTATCAAAGAACTGAGTACAGGTAATCCTCAGGTTACAACCCTAATTGGGACCAGAATTTCCATCACTAAGCAAAGTGGTCATTAAGTAAAATATGTGACCGCACTGCTTAGTGACGGCAGCCCAGATTGCGGCCATTAGGCCAGGACTGCGCAGTTGTTAGGCAAGGACTTCATACTTCTCCTACCCTACGCAAACTACCTCTGCTCAACTCTCCTCACTTGCCTATCTCCCCCCACTTCTGCCCTTTTGGCCACTCTGTACTCTGCTACCTACCTCTGCTGCCCTCTGCCACCACTCCCAGATGACCTTCACCTTTTTCTTCCTCCTGCTGCTGGCCTGGGATCCAGGTGCTGGGTGAGGGTGCAGCCCCAGGATGCACATGGCAAGCGCAGGAGGGCAGCAGAGCCTGATCTGCCAGAGGGCCTGCAAAGATCAGCTGGAAACAGCAGCAGGGGTAGGTGGCAGAGTTGAAGCAGAGGCAGTTCGTGAAGGCAGGAAAATTTGACACTGGGACGCTCCAGCCGATCATAAATGCAGGCCGCTCACCAAGTGCCCAAATTTTGATCATATGACCATGGGGGCGCTGGAATAGCTGGAACTTCGAGGACTGGTCGTAACTACCATTCATTCATCGCCATCATAACTTCCGACAGTCACTGAACAAATGGTCGTAACCTGAGGATTACCTGTAAGTACTTGACAGTACTTCTTTGATTTCTTCCAGAAAAATAGGCATTTTTTTTGTAATTAGAATCTCTATATACTAATAATTTTGCCCTCTGTTTCTTGGGTTTAGTTTGTCAAGCTAACCCAAGGAATAGGTAGTGAAAAAAGAATAACTATTCAGTGAGTAAAACTTTTATAATTCCTTATTTATTTTTCTGTTTGGTGAGATGACAGTTTCTGAAATTGGACTAGATAAAATTAAAATTAATATATGTAATTTAATTGTTTTGTATCATATTTAAAATAAGAGTTTATACAAACCGAGTCATAGTAGGTGACAGCACTAGCCCACCTCAACTGAGCTAGGAAACTCAGAAAGGCTAGCAGTGACTAGTATTAGGATGAAGAACCGTCTGGGAAATCCAGACCTGTGGGTTTGACTGGAAAGTAAAAAAAAAAAAAAAATTCTGGAAGAGGTTCATATGAATGATTCTTCTTCCTGGACAAAATGAGAAATTCCTTTACAGATAGTCCTTGTTTACTGATTGCCTCATTTAACGACTGTTCAAAGTCACAACAGTGTAAAAAAACCCAGCTTTGCAACCAATCCTTGCATTTATGACATTGCAGCATCCCGTGGTCACATGATCACCATTTGTGTGCTTCACAGGTGGCTTCTGACAAGCAGAGTTAATAGAGAACACGGAAGTAAAATTGCAAGTCGCAGTCACATAATGCCTTACTTAATGACTGTGGTGATTCGCTTAACAACTAAATGGGAAATGACATAAGCCTATTGCAGTCACATGATTTTCCACTTAGTGACTGTGGCATTTAGCAAAGGAGTTGCCGGTCCCAATTGTGGTCCCTAAACAAGGACTACCTGTACTTTTTTTTTTTTTTTTTACTTTCAGGTGAGATTACATTGAGAAATCCCAGTAGTTAGGCCTTGTTTTGGAAATTGATATTTCTTATTTTGGATGATACTTTTTTTTAATTTAGCAAAGTTCATTTTTACATGCGTCCAGTATAATGATTTTTTTTGTGTGTGATTGTTTTGAATATCAGGTGTACTTTATTAGAAGCTTGCCAGTGTAGTTATCGATATGCCTAGATAGTTTTAGCTAGTCAGCCACTTACTGCTATGTGACTTTTCAGTGAATTCCTTTAAAGTATTATATTTTAACATTTTCTTTTATGAAACTTCAGAATTAAGGTGGTGTATTTTCAGATATTTTCTTAGATTTCTTAGTAAATATAAATTCTGTCAGTTTATAGCCCTGAACAAAAATGCGTTTGCTCCCTAAAATATCTTATTTAGTGCTAAATCCTCTCAAAACCTGATTAGGACAGACCTGTCAACCAGGTAACTATGATAAGTTCACAATTTAAAATGGAAAAATTACATATACATGTGTGTGAATGTGTCCATGTGTACGTGCACACACACATTCCTCTCTTAAGCCTAGTGACTCATCAACCCTTCTATAATGGCATGGCTAGATTTAGCAACATTCATGAATTCTTCTACCTCCATTGAATACTATAATTAAACACCTCCTACCTCTACAGGAGTGGTGTGTGAAGTCACTGATATGAGTGCTGTGGTTTTTGGTTTAGAGCAAAGGAAAATTTGGGAAAACTTACATGGGAAACAGTTACAGTTTTAAAAGTTCACGATCTTCCAAATGAATGATGTGCTCCTAGGATGGCAATTCCTAGAAACATACAGTAATTATTTTATGCTTGCGTAACAAAACATTAATATTGACACTGCCAATTCCATTGCTGTATGGTATCTTTTGTAAAATGCCCCTTTCTACTTACTTACTTATAGCTTATGGCCAGTTCAGTGAGGCAACCCACTGGCAGTCTGGAGGGCCCTAAAATCTGGCTGTTTTCCCAACCCTTGGGCTGGAGTGGCTGGAGCCTTCTTTGCTGGCTGGATGGGATGTTTTGGACTGACTGCCAGGTTCACCATCTTTTTCTTTTCCTAGTTTGGTTTTTGTCATATGTCAGTTCTTACTATATAGTTTTCTGTTATTTAGTGTATAGTGAACCACCCAGAGTTACCTGAAGTTGAGCAACATCAAATTGAATATAAATGAATAAGAACTGGAACAAGATTGGATTTTCAAGTCCTTTGCTTTCTAAATATCAGTGGTGACTATTGACTTGATCTGTGCCAATAGAATGGTTTTGGTAGTAAACTTTCAAGTGTACCAAGTTTTGCCTTGTGAAGCTAGAATCTTAACATTCCTGGGTAAAATGAATTAATTAGGAGCCAGTGCAAATGAAGATAATGGAATCTTGTTCTGCTACTTATTAAGCAACTTGAATTCATAATTTTGATTTTGAATATTTAGAGAGTTATTTAAAGCTCATTGTATTCAATTTAAAATAGTTAAAGAAAAAAGTAGAGTTTTGAACCCACCCACCCCAGTTTAATATAAACCTCTCCCTAATAAATGTGACTGATTTCTGATGTTAATGCTTGTCCCCATCCCAGACAAGGGTACAGCTTGCCTTCTGGAGACAAAGTATTGCATACATTTTAGATTTTGTGCAATATTTTATTCAGCTCCTTTTTATTAGGGTATGAAAACTCAATTTGTTAAATCTTCCTCCTTCCCTCCCTAAAAAATGTTTTTATTCTTTTGCTGAGAGTATAATTTCTGCTTAGATCAGCACTGCTGATTTTATATATGGACTTAACTGACACAGTGCTTCTGTTCTAGCACAAACTCTGTGGTTATGTTCACTTTTAAGTGGCTACTTTTGAAATTATATTTCTCCTTATAATTTCAGGTTGAAGTCTTAGCCTCGGAGGATGCTTCATTTGGACTCAAGGTCTGTAGATGGTGAAATTTCTTTTCTTGCGTATTATCAGTTTAGAACGGCTGGTTTCATTTGATATAAGAACATTTGCTTTTTCCTGAAAACTATATCTTTAATTCCTACCACAAAATAATATTTTGAGATTAATTCAATCAAAATGGCATTTCATATTGTGTTTGTTTCACTTATTTGCCAAAACCAGAAAATGAGAAAATATTATAAATTAAAGTCTATCACCTTTTAAATATAACATTTCATAGAGGATGGATTTTGTTCTGTAATCTAGTAATATGGGTCATGCCTCTCTGTACTAATAGCCATTTCTCGTTTGTAAAGAGTTGATCTTTGAGCACTTTTGTAGTTCTCATTTGCCTGGTACTAAATTCTTGACCAGTTAAGGTTCTAGGCATATTTTCGCAAATATTGATTAACTTTATTTGTGAATCTGTAGTTAATGAAATTAGGGTACTGATCTTATTCTTTTAAATGATGGTCCATAATGGTAAATTTTATAAAGGCTTTATAATAGACTAGTAAGAAAAGAGACTGGGTAGTCGGAAAGGAGTAGAAATCTGAAAACTTTAACTTAAATCATGAGTTTTCTGTTGTTGAATATCCATATGATATAATACCTCAGAAAAGTATAGCACCTGGATAATCACCAAAGTAGAATAATCAGTAGGAAAAGAATAAATCTCAACATTCATGTTGAAAAGCTATGTACACAATTAACTCTGGGGGAAAAAAATCAAAATTACCATTTTATAAGTAAATATTTATGACACTATGATTTACTACTGTTTTATTGTGTTGTGATATCTGATAAACTGATTTAAAATAAATTATTAAAAATAAATAAAGCTGCTTCAAAATTGTTTGAAGTATTTAACATATGGTATTCTGTAGCATTTTCTAGTTTGTATTTAATACGCAGCACACATACAGAACATTCACTGAATATTTAATAAACCTGGAGGGTCAGCTTTTGCAAACTCATCTCCATAATCCTTCATGCTAGCTGAGTAAACACAAGTATTACTGAAGATTATTGTAGCCAATAGCTCTCATTGTCTGACCCATTTTGGAAAAGACTGTGTTATTGTTTTATGATGAAAGTTGCACATTGGGAAAACTATTAGGACCAATTTATATGTAGCATAGGCCAGGTATTTGCCATGTAAATTTTTCACTTTCATTTAAATGCACTTAGCATGTGCATCATATGTTTAACATTAACAAATCAGTGGCTCCCAAGTCACATTCTGGGTTGACTACTACTATATATGAATAAGCCAGAGCATATAGTAAATACTTTCTAAAAGGAAGTACATGTAGATTGCCTGCATGGATAAGCAATTCACCTGTCTTCATATGACACAGACACTGGGCTTTAGGATTAATTTTGCTTTTGATTTTGCTGTTCTGAATGCATTTGTCTTATCAGAAGGTTTTAATGACAATAATGTAAATCTGACTTCTTTTTTTAGCCCTATATAATGTTTCTGGAACCTACTTGTTTCTTGATGTTTCATGAGATTGTGACTTCCCTGCTTCTATCAAACTGTTGCTTCTCTGTGTTAGAAAAATTGCAGTTACATTTAATGTAATTCATCTTCCCCAATCATTGGTGTAATTGAGCTCCAACTCTGAGACTATGAACTTGTTGCATCAATAGCTACCAAACAAACACAAAGTATTTGTTGGTGACTAAAAAAACAACAACACTGGTCTATAGTTTAGTTTCCTGGGCTGACACTGGGGAAGAGGAAGAATTTCAGACTGTACAACAGTTAGCAGGTTGTGCCAAGTCACTTGTTTCTTAACTTAGAACTTCATTGGATAATTGCACATACTTTCTATATTATTTGTGTCCTATGCTCTCTATTTCCCTCCCCCAACATTTACACACATTTTATTAACAGTACTACCCAGTTCTTAATCTTCTACTGATGGTGGTTCAAGACATTTTGCTACTGCAAACTGAAGAGTAGAGTAGAGTAGAGTAGAGTAGAGTAGAGTAGAGTAGAGTAGAATAGAATAGAATAGAATAGAATA